ACAAGGGTGATAATTGACAAATACTGATATGAAAGAAGCGGGGGCAGCTCGTGAATAGGGCAGGGGGTTTCTTCTCTGAAATTCTGGAGTGAGAGACCTTGTTGAGATAGTGGTAAATTTTGAAACTGGCTGCTGATTATGATACTTGTCATAACCACGCACACCCATAAGGAATGTGCAAAATGCAGGAAGCTGGATTGTTCTATACCAACTAAAACGTTGCAGATCTTTTGTAAAGCTAATAGCTTTTAAATATCAAGTAAAGACCAGACCACACTCTATGCTTTGTGTTACAGCAGTTCTAGCTTGCAGTTATTATTGTTCCCAGGAAAATCCTTCTTTCCTTCCTTCTTTCCCTCCTCTATAGGAATTGGCAAATCTACTCAGTTTACTCAACAAAAATGTTTGTTGAAAGAAGGACAGCTTCACTGTCCCAGTGAGCAGAGTACTCTGTGTGTCATATTTGCCATCTGTATAGTCTGAAATAGGTCAAGGATCCCCTTGACATTTAGTCCAGTCGTGTCCAACTCTAGGGACATCCCCATTTCCAAGCCATAGAGCCAACATTTGTCCGTAGACAGTTTCTGTGGTCACATGGCCAGTGCGACTTAGACATGGAATGCCATTACCTTGCTGCCATTGTGGTAATTGTTTATCTACTCGCATTTACATGCTTCCGAACTGCTAGGTTGGCAGGAGCTGGGACAAGCGACGGGAGCTCACTCCGTCGCTTTGAATCAATGTTACCACTGCTAGTCTTCTGACCTTGCAGCACAGAGGCTTCTGCAGTTTAACCCACAGCGCCACCACGTCCCTATAGTCTGAAACACAGGCATGCATAGCAAGAAAATAAAAAGGCGAAGTGCAGCAAAAATAAAAGCCAACAGCCAGCATGAAGAAAGTGAAGTACAAAATGTGTGTGTGTGTGTGTGTGTGTAATGGGGAAATAGCTTAAATCCTGTTGTGCTGATGTGACCCACCCCACTCAAATCCTTCATGAGAAAATCAAGACATCCATAGCAATTCACATACAGGCACTCAGGGTACTGCAAAATGAGATCTTCAGCTGCATGAAAGAAAAGAAGAAAAAAAGACAGTGCTTATCTATAGAACCGAAAATGAAAACAATGCAAAACTAAAAACATCCCGCTGCTAAGACACAAAAAAGCCACCAATCACAGGGGCTGGGGAAATTAGCTGGTCAGGCTCAGCTCTCACAGACATGTAATTGGGCTTCTAGGAGAGCTTGAGCTTTTCATGGTCACTTAGTGGGGTTTTTTATTATTTGTTTTTGTTTTGATGGTGGTGGTTTATTTTTGCTTTTGTTTTTGTTTTGTTTTTTAGGCTTCTTGATTCTGTTAAAAGATTATTTCTCCAGGTGAAATTCCCAGGTACCAAATTTTTGTTTTAAACTTTTTAAACCTCCTCAGCATCGAGGCAAAATTCAGTGCTTTGGAGGTCCCCAATTAAATCTGAGTACCACTCTGGGCTTCCTCAATTCACTTCAGATTGGTTTGGAAACTGACAATGTCCCTGCTTTGTTTCATTTTCCAAATCAGTTCGGAAGTACATTCCTTCTAAGTTCAGAAGGGATAAGAAGGCTGAGAAGGAGGGATGACAGAACATGTCATAGTCTGTGCTTGTCAGAATGTCCTGGGGCTTCAATCCTGTTTTGCTGTGCCACTTCTCTGGGGGAAACCCAGCCCCAGCCCAGCTACTATAATGATAAAACAGGAGGCAGAAAAATAATTATATGCATCATGTATAAAGGCATAGTCTGCCAGGAGGGGAAATCTACAATCAGAACATTTTTACAAAATCACTGTAAACTTTCTATCTGTTTGCTGTGGTATATCTCTCTAACATTAGTTAGAATTAGGGTAGATTGGGGAGCAAGCCACAAGTCACATCCCAGGTTAACAGGATGGAAAATATAGAGTCTATGCTAGTTTTTTTTGTTGTTGTTGTTCCTAGAGGAATGAAATGCTCTAGTAGCAACCCTTGTACTTTCCTCTCTCTTGGAGGAATGCAGTAATTTGGCTCTGCATGGTGCAGGAAAATGTTACTGGTGGGATTCATGAAATGGCAGATTCTGTCTGATGAAGCTTCTAGTGGATCATAGTGAAAACAAGTACAGTATACTGAATATGTGAAATGACTCACATGAATAGCTCTGTGTTGGGGTCATAAGCTTACTACAGTACTATATTGTTGTTCCTTTGGATCATGCAGGTGTTAACAGTGGTGACAGTGCTGTGTGTGTAAACCACTTCCTGCACAACCAAAAGAATTACAGTGGTACCTTGACTTAAGAACTTAATCCGTATTGGGACTGCGTTCTTAAGTCGAAACATTCTTAAGTTGAAGCACCATTTCCCATAGGAATGCACTGAAAACCATTTAATCCATATCTGCTGTTTTTCGTTCTTAAGTCGAGGCGCTGTTCTTAAGTCGAAGCATGAGTTCCCATAGGAACTAATGCAAAGCCGGTTAATCCATATCTACCACTAGGGGTGCATTTTTTAATATATTTTTTCTTCTTTTGACCTAAGGTGAACTTAGGACAAAAAAGGGCAGGAAAGGTTTTCTTCTTCTTTTGGTTCTTAAGGCGAGGCTCTGTTCTCAAGTCAAAGCAACTTTTTGCGAAAGGAGCCGTTCTTAACTTGAATCGCTCATATGTAGGGAAGTTCTCAAGTCGAGGTACCACTGTACTGGGCAGGATGTTAAACCCATTGGTTGTGTAGTGCAACGAAGTCGAGTGATTTGTAGGCAACATTTATTACTGTGATAACTTTTACTATATTGTCTTCCTTTTCTTCCCTGTATAACTCCAGTGCCATCCAGTGTTACAGAATTTAGACTGAAGTTTTTAAGCTGAAGCCAAAATCATATAGTTCAACATCTGACTTCATCAACTGTGCACTGCTAGAAGATTTTTTGAACCATTTGTATTGTTTCTGTAGGTGGTATCTAAGTTTCTCCTATTTGATGGGACAGTCACAAGCATTGCCACAGTATTACAGGAATGTGACCAGGAGAAGCAGGAGAATGAAAAGTTAGCATATGAACTTTTCTGACCCAAATGGAATGTCTGCAGAAAGTCTCCACCTAGTGAACCTTAACAGACTCAGAATACAATACGGAATAGATTTACATGTTCAGAAGGACATTGGCTTATCTGAAATATTAAGCATGTCAGGGTGTCTTTATATTTAAAAGGCAGCGTCAATTCCATGAGGCATTTAAATGCAAGCTCCAGTTCATTACAAACATATCAGGTGAAATCTCGTGGGCAAGTAATGCTTGTTAGGAGCACCTTATCATCAGCTGCTGGTATTCCAACAAATTGTGTGTGCGATTGCATTTGTGTTCATTACTCATCTGCCAGTTTTCATTTAGTGCACTTTAATGCAAAGGCTTCTTGAAACTGAAAGACATCAAAGCCGTGACATTTCATTCAAAGTTTCAAAATGTAATGTTAATATAACCCAGCTAGTAAATTGTAAAGCTAGATGTGTGCTCTCCCTTTGCATGCGTTATAGTAGATTGCCTGATGATTACATTGTCCCTGGAAATGCAGTCTGTGTCACCACTGCCTGATCCCATTACCATTTTCCTTTTGTGCTGTTGATGTTCATAACGTTTCTTGACTGGTCTCTTTCTCTGGCTTCAGTTGTCTAGTGAAAGAGTGGATTTCAGTAGCAATAGTTTGAGATGACCTTTTCCAAGGTTGTTGGCCATGCTGTATTTTTCCACTACCTTGGCAGGATCAAGATGATTTTGAGATAGTTTATAAATCCGGCAGTGCTTTTGGGAAGTTCTATGATCTAAATGCAGGAGAAATGGAATACCAGTATTGCGTTAGAATGTGTTGTAATTGTGAACTTCTAAAATTTTATTCTAGCTATCCAGGTTGCCATAGAGCTCTTTGATCCAGTATTCAAAACGAGAGAGAGGAGATTATGCTAGGTTGTATGACTGGTTTTTGCTCTGAGATACATGTGAAGGGCTGCAGTAAGGGAATATGAACTCACAACTTCTAACTAGGAATCAAAGTGTCCTCAAGAAGCTGCTTAAATAGTTGGCCTACCTTCCTTTGTAAGCCCGCCGTGACAGTGAGTGAAGTAGGCACTTAAGGCAGCAAATTTTGAGTGTCAGGAAAGGCAGAACATTTTTAGTTATTGCTTTTTTTTGTTGCTGTTTTGTTACTGTCAAAGATGAGTGAGGAATTTTTGGGATGTCCTTGGCTGGCTTTAAGTACTGTGCGTCTTCATTTCCAGTGATGAGGGGAACATTCTTTCATGCTGTGCCTCAGGAAGCAGGACCAGCCCATCTTTCTTCCTTTAAGTCTTTGCTGTGGTTTCAATGCTGTGGTGTTAGCTTAACAAAGCATGGGATAACAGGTGAGACAGGGCTGCCTGATCTGACATTTTAACCTTGTGTCTGTGTGTTCTGTGCTATCAAGTTGGAACCGACTTATAGCAACCCTAATAGGACTTTCAAGGTAAGTGAGATATTTAAGGAGTAGTTTTACCAGTTCCATTCCCACAGAGTGTTTCCAGGGCCAAGTGGGGATTTGAACCTCTTCTCCAGAGTCCTAGTCTGTCACTCTATCCACTACACCACACTAACTATGATTTAGTGTATACTACACCACACTAACTATGATTTAGTGTGTACACAGTGTGATCTATCCATCCACCAAACCACACTGGGAATCCTCCATTTTAACCTTATATGGAAGCAAACTTATCAAGAGTTCTGTGTAGAACAAATTGCAGAATTATTGTTGAAATGCATTTCAATTATCGTTGAAATGCAGATTTTTCAACTCATATACATCTATCTTATGGCATTGTTTTAAATAATGAACAGATCTTCTGGGATGGCAATGTATGTCTTTAACAGCTAGAGTTTGTGTATATAACAGTGTTTAAAATATAACCATATTCATAAAGTTGGTCTTCTTTCCTTCCCTTCTCTCTGCTGTCTCTGTCTAGGTCACAGTCTCAGCTCAACAAAGGTGGCTCGTGCACAGACATTTCCTGGCTATACCTCAGAGCAAGGTGAGGAGCATGAGCCATGCCTGTCACTGTCTAGCAGCTATGGATTCAGCTACAGCTCAGGCCTCGTCCAATGACATACAACTTGTGTATGAAGGGAGAGACAGTCTAGTGTGGAACCTGCCTGCCTGCAGGCCCTGGAAGCCCGTTGGTCCTTTCCTACAGTATATGTCCATAGAAGACAATCCATAGTGAAATTGAGGACAAACGCCTCCAAGCTGGTGACGGTGAAGATGAAAGCTTGGCTCACTGCTTCCCTGAGGCAGAATCTAAGTCTTTTATTTATTTAAATTTTGTATTTGTTTTTGCCCATGTTGGGTTTTTAATTTTGTTTTGTTTTTAGATAGAAGAAGAAAGATGTATTCGCTCTGAAGTCCTGATGGTGTGTAGCTGAGGTTTCTGCATGACCACAAATATTACTTGCTCTCAGTGTTTGAGCAGAACATTACATTTTCAATATGAGGCTTTTGCCAGTCAGTCAGCTATGTTGTTGGGTTTGTTCATCCACAATAGCAGCCACCTTTATTCCATGGCATCAGCCTGCCACCTGGGTCATTCTTACAGATGAAGCAAAACTTTAAAAAGAAGGATATAATCCTAACATCTGTTATGCAGAGTTCCTTCCCATTGACCTCAATGGGGTTTATGCATGAGTAACTTTAAGACTGTAGCTTAAAGTTGCAATCCTGAGAAAGAGCTGGTGACTTCTTATCAGAGTCTCATGAGTACAAGCAAATACAGAGGATAGATCAATAGATACAGTCAATGGGATGGCATGGTGATGCTTAGAAGCCTTTTGGAAAATAGGTTGTGTTGTGTATTAAGAGATTATTTGCTTAGAGTATTTCCCACTATGATTTCTCTATGCCCAGATTCTGCTATCTATCTGCATTCTGAATCTAATAATCCACAGCTTCCCATTGGGAACAGTGATAATAGACGTTGAGAAAAGACTGTTTCACAAGGCATTTTCAAAGTCTTCCCATTGTACATATTATTTAATACTGAAGTCTGAATTTATAGTCAGTATACTTTTAATTCTGTATACTGTACAAATGATAACTAAAACCACATTGCTCAATGACAGCTTTGTTTTCCATAGTTTTATAGGGCAAGGTAATTGGCTAGTAGAAATAAGTATAATTTCAAGTTCAATTCATATTACTAAAGTAATAGGTAACAAAATGGATCTGTCCTCCTTGTTTATTTGTTTGACCAAGTTTCCATTTCATAATGTCTGATTCACACTATACCCTAGATCTAATGTAAAATCATAGATGCATCATGATGACATTTCAGAGTCATTTATCTCATTCCTATTTTTACTCACAGTCCCACTCACAGTGGACAATATTATGAAGCAGATGGTGCAAAGCTGATTTCTGAGTCTTGTTGAACTCGTTTTGGCCTACTATGCCCTTTTGTCTTTTCCCCAAAGAAATTTAAAAAGAATGGATGCAGCATGAGTTAAAGGTATGTGAAAGGAGAGGACCTCTGTAGCCACTAGGAAAAAGTCAGTTCTGAAGAAATGCTGTACCTCAACACATTTCCTGTCAATGCTGTTCCTGTTCAGCAGAAGACTCAATTTATTCAACTCTGTCTCAAGATAATACTGTTTTTCACCACCTCCAGTTTAAAATACTTTTGCAGCTCAGACCATAACTTGGCTCCATATCTATCTCTTTTCATGATATTTTTGTTTGTTTGATTGTTTGTTTTTTTAAAGTTCAAGTAGGTTTTTAGACCAGCAGCCTCCCCTCATATCTGCAAAAAGGATGAACTTAGGAATAAAAACAGGAACATCACAAAAAGAACACAGTAAAAATAGCAGACCAAACTATTCCACTATTCAGAGTGTGAAATGAATTCAGATTAAAAAACAGTCTAAATAACTTGATCATTTTCTCTTTCTAACATGATTTCTGCCTATCAGAAGAGAGTGCCAAAATCTGAGTGCCATGACTGAAAAGGCCCCACTGCATGCTTATTTTTTGATGTTACAGACATTTTTATTTATGTTTCAAACACGTTCTCTGGGCAGCTTACAAATTTTGGTGCGACCACAGATGAAGCAGAATAATTGAAAACAAGCTACACAAAACAATAAATAAATAAAATGCATGGGAAGAGGCAATGATCTTCACCTACTGTCCAAATGATACCAATGTATTTGGGAAGAATATTCCAAATTCAAGGTACGATCACTGAAAAGGCCATCTCGCCTTTCATGGCAAAGAAACATTACCAAAGAAACAGTAGGATGGGCTTCACTAAGCTCCTTAATATACAGGCAGACATATGGGGAGTTAAATAATCCTAAGCCCCAGCTATGTATATCTTTAAAGGCTAAAAGGAGAATTTAAACTTTATCCCAATATATCTTGGTTGGTGTATCAACCAGTCATCCTTCAAATGGAGGATAGATATGGAGCTGAGCTCATCCATTTCTTCCCAGGTCTCTAAAAACATGCAGCATCATGTGGGGCCCAATCCATTTATGGTGAAGAAGTGAAAACTGTTGTCATTTGGAACTGCACTGTCCGTGCTCAGTTTGAAGGAAATCCTTGTTCATAAACTAGTTCCATGTGAATTTCTGCTGCAAGAAAAAAACTGGAGGGAGGTCAACTTCCATTGGAAAAAATACTGTGTGAATGCCTTGGAATCTGGGTGTAAATTAACTAACTTCCCAAAATCAATGACTCTTGAATAGCAGGATTTGGCTCTGACAGTCACAAGATATGTAGATTACCTCTCCATATGTGCAAAATATGTCCTCCTAGGCTTCAGGATGTCACGTTAAAAAATACTGATTTCAGAGAGGGCCAAGCAATTACGCCAAATGACTTCTGAGTATGCCATATAGAAAGGTAGGTGGTTTCATTGCATTTTCTTCTCTGCCCCTTGAAGAGATATCATATAAAGGCCACTGGAGTAAAATGGCCTGGAAATCAGTAAAGGGAGAATCACAGTGAAAGGCACAATAAGTGAATGTACAGAAGGGGTTTTTCAGTCTTGTGCACTACTGTCCCCACAATGCTCATTGGGATAAACATATAAGAAACAGTTCTCCTAAATGCTAGAAAAGCTGCCAAATATATATGTATGTGTGTGTGTATATATATGTGTGTGTGTGTGTACACACACACACACACAGAGAGAGAGAGAGAGAGAGAGAGAGAGATTTGGCAGCTTTTCTAGCATTTAGGAGAATTGTTTCTTATATCTTCATCCCAATGAGCATTGTGGGGACATTAGTGCAGCATATATATATTTGGCAGCTTCTCTCTCCACCCCCATCCCCCCAGCAGAGTGTCTAGCTGTGGAGTTTCCTCTGCCTTTCATTATTTTCTCAGGCCAGCAAAGAATGAGTTGAAAGGACAAGAGTCAGAGTCTTCTCCCCTTTTCCATAGTCCCCACAATTCCAAGTTTTATCTACTGAAATTTAAAGAATGGAAGCAATGGCTTTTTAATAAATGGTGTGAAAGAAATGTCTGCTTTGGTTAAGCATTTATTGATACAGTAAAGTGGGAGGTTTTTCTTCCCCCAAGGTATTCTGGTCTAATACGTTGAAGATTTACCTAGCTAGGTGAACAGCTGCTGAATGAAACTGATGCATGATCTGATGGGATTAATCATGCCCCCGCAAACACCTTCAAGAATACACTTTTTGTTGCTCATTCTTCCTTTATCTTGATCACTGTATGTCTACCAATCAGAGAGAGTAGCTTGCTCTGTCCCAGTATGAAACTTTGGACCCCAGTTGTCGCCAAGGTGCAGCTAGTTTTCTTGTGGAGAATTGATTGTCTGCACTTCTGATGTTAATACCTGGTTTGCAAAGAGATTTCTTCCTCCTTATTAAGTGAAAACTATTCTGCCTAAAAGAATTCCCTTAATATTAATTAATTAATATTAATTAATTAATATTTTGATTAATTAATTAATTAATTAATTAATATTAATATGTTCCTTAGCATAATTCCTCTGACATAAGATCCACAGGGGTCAGTTAGGCTTGCTGTCGTGTAAAATTGTTTCTAGGGATTTTTTGCTGTGATTTTATTAATATAAATCCTGTTAGTTTATGTAATGATCCTTCTAAGAAACTCTGAATTATTACACTTATAGCATATACTGTAAATATGCTATGCTGTTCGCTCCAATATTATCACAAGAGGTATCTCTTAGGTGAGCTGTGTCCTAAAGATTACACACTACGCAAGGCTCTCTAGAAACTTTCCCAAGCCTTCAAGATGAAACACTGAAAAAGAAAACAATGTATGTACCAGGATTTGAGCATGATAGCTTAGTGGGGGGTGGCTGGGAATACATATTGCAGCTGTCATTAGCAGAAATCTTGGGGTTTTGAGGCTTCTAGCCTGCACAACCTTGCATGTCAAATGCAGCCTTGCTATTTGCCTAAGGCAAATAAAGTTTCTGCTGCTGCTAGCGGCTTGCCGGACCAGCTGATCAGTCTGCCTTTCATAGACAACTAGATACAGTTGAGTGGACATGTTGCTAATTGATGTGTACCTGTCTGCAATTTTATTCCATATGAAGAACATTCCAAAGGGATGCACCTTAGTCCACTTAATAATAATCATCATATGCCATTAAGTCAATTCTGACTTATGGCAACCCTCTTTAGGGTTTTCTAGGTAGAAAATAATGACCCAAAGCCACACAGACTGGCTATACGTACAGGAGCCACAATGGGGAACTGAACGCCCATCCTCTGACGTTGCATCCAGATACCTAAACCACTGCACTATCTAGCCAGCTTCAGATCAATTAGGTAGCTACATTTATTTTCAACTAAGTTATAGGAGGCATTCTTATTTTGAAGTTACAGCATAACATATCTTCTATAAATAAAATAAAGGAAAAATCACTAATTGCTGAATTTAAAAAATCCCAAAATGCGATCATAGAGGTCTCTAATTTTGCAAGAGCAACCTTGGGGTGATTATATTTTCCCATTTTATGTGCATGACCCAGATATGACAATGCAGACTGCTTATTTTACTGAGGGGTGGCAAGGATCGCCCATTGAGTCTCTGACTTACAATCCTGACCTTAGTGGGATATTCAAACCTGATTTTTAAAAAGTATGTAGTTAATGAGGAACTGGGAGCTGATATGCTACATCTTACTTTAAAGATGAAGCTAAAAATCATGTTTCACCACCACTTTTTTTTTCAAAAGTGTAAACAAATGCATCACTTTGGACAAATATAAATTGTAGGCACAGAGCTTTACATCAGGAATGTCGTTGGATACAAAAGGTTAACTACTGCAGACTGAAAAATATGACTTTCTGTTTGTGCTATGTATGAAGCCGGCATATATGAATAGCAGAAAGCCAGTGGGTGTGACCCAAACATTTTCTAACTCTTTGTCTCATCTGGTCTTTGATTATGCTATATTAGTTTGTATCAAACCTTTCCAAGATCTCTCAAAACAGTATTACGGACTTCTCAAGGCCTGCCTCCACCCACCTGATTCATTCTTCCCTGGTAAGTTTTGAGATGTGCAGAGCATTCTTTGGGAAATGTTATCATGAATCATATTTTGCCCTCTCTTTTACCATATTCATTTGATTTTTTTCCTTTGTTTCATTGGCCTCAGTGATGATGGAACTGGTTGCTGAGGTGTTTCTTCCTTATAGAATCTCACCTTTCAGAGTTCACTAAGAAATCCCATCATAGTTAATAACTAGAGATGGTGGGGATTCAGTGATCTATCTATAGGTCTTTTAGATGCTCTTATTGAAGAGAGGTTTCTTTCCATGTGTGTGATGGGTAGGAAGAATTTTAAGTATGTATGGGTAGAAATGGATGTTAGGTGTTTTAAAATGGCATTCAGCCGCTGTTCACTGATGCTTTCTCTTGACTGAATGATGCATTTACTGTTGTTTCTTGTTCTATTAATGGAAAGAATTAAATACACTGCTCTTCTGCTCTATGTGATGTTATGATCCAGTTTTCCCTGTGAACCAAAGCATCTATGAAATTGAATTAAACCAGATTAAACAAAGGCCAAGATCTGCTGTATTTTTGTTGTTGTTGTTGTTGTCCTCCCTTGTGGATGTGAAAAGTATAGTGTAGATGAATCAGGAAGCATCTGAGACATGAATAAAATATAAAAACTGTTTATTAGATACAAAGAAAGGAAATTAACAGACTTTTGGATTCTTTCCATCTTCTTGTTGACAAAAGATGCATTTTCCTCCATCAGAAACTTTCCTAGAGCAAGAACAATGATGGTAGGAACACCAAAAATGTTATGCAAAGAGTTATGAACTGAGGTTTCTGAATACAATAGTAGAAGTTCCAAATAGATAATAGTCAAGTTACTAGGCTACTCTTATGATGAAGAAAGTGTATGTAGCCATCTCAGCAATGATGCTATACTTGGACCATATTTTTGAAAGCACTGCAGAATGCTCTTGACATCCTTGTAAGGCCATATTGTGCCCATAAACAGACTGGACAGGAGGTAATAAGAAACCTTTTTTGCACAGACTCCTAACCCCATCTCCAGTGGTCCATGTGGCTTTGCTAGACCTGGTCAAGCCTCATATAGATTCTCTTCAGCCACTGGGACAAAGTCCTCTGAATGACAAATAACTCTTCAAACGAGGTACTAAGAGAAATAAGTAAATAAGCTGTGTTTTACATGTTCTAAAAATAGGAAAACCCTCTTTGTTGCCATGCAATGCCGAAAAATCCAAAGCATTGAAGCAGAGAGATCATATCACCTTACTACAGCACAGAATTGGTTCCCAATATGAATCCAGTATTTGAACTAATTGGCTGCTTTTCTAGTCCCACCTGCTTTATTTAGTTCTTGTCTAGTTTCAATGAGACTGAAGTAAACGTGAGAAGCCAGAGAAGTAACTGGGCAAAAATTCAGTGGCTTGGCAAAACCATTATTGATACATAACTGTGACCTTCTGAGTGCCAAACAATAAGGGATTTAACAAAGTACACACAAGTTTAACTACAGCAAGACTAATATACACACCAAAGGGACATATGCACCACATAAAAGCCTATACCAGAGCTGAGGCGGAAGTGCCAACACTTTTTTTGTCCAATGACCCAAATTCCATTTTGAGGAGGACACATTTCATCAGTGAATTGAACTAGTATTTTGGGACTATCCTAAGCAAAGTTAATGTGGTATGTGAATTTGTATATTTTCCTCATATAAAATCTCAGTGCAACAGTGTTTAGAGCTGCAAACCAGAGTTCAGTTCCATACAGCACCATCTCAGATTGCAGATCAGAGCTCAGTTCCATGCAGCAGTTTTCCATGGTTTAACTAGCATCTTCTGTGACAATTTGATGGAGATAACAGCAGAAAAAGCACATGGCTGGTGGGGATTCCCCACCCCCATCAGAATCCAACCTATAAGGTTGAATGTCCTTCTGCCTGGAGAATCAGAAGGCTTAGCAATTACCCACCATCCCAACTACCACACATAAGTTAACATTTCATGTCTTCCTGTTAGCTTTGGACATCAGAGCAAGCAAAGTGAGGTTAATAAGTCTTTGGAGGAATTCAAAAGGTATCTTCAAGAAAGTTACAACTAGTGTAATTTTTACAAGTGATGTGACAGTTCTAATAGTGAAATAAGGGATGAAATCTAGAGTGGGCCCATTGAATCAATAGAGTTACAGAGGACTTGCCTAGCCAGATCCCCACTGATTCAGTAGGCCTACTCTGGCTGCAATGTCCAACTGTAAGCAACAGAATTATCAGCCAACCATAGCACACGTGTTAAACATCTTCTTGGTGGCTTTCATATTAACATGATACAATAATTAACAGATATGCAGGGTTGTGTTCTCCAGTTTGTCTCTTTTCAGTGAAACATAAGGTTTGTTTACATAGGTTCATTTGAAGCAGGATGGTGAGGGCCAGAAAGGATCACCTAAGGTTGGAGAGAGGTCTGGTATGCTATTTGGTGTAACCCTCTCATCCAAATGGCACATACACCTCCAGTGACCCTATTTGGTCAGGGTCATTTAAGAAAGCAAGAGAAAGGGGGGGATCTCTAACTTTCTCCTGTCTCCTCCCACTTCCAGAAGGAAGTTTTCAACTTTTTTTTTAAAAAAATCTAACTGATGCAACGTATCAAGACTGTTCTAATACATTTTTAAAAAAACTTTTACTTCCTCTGCCCCTCAACAGAGCATTTTTGCTTCCTCCCTCTGCTCCATGGAGCAGCTGGTTCTCAGTGGTGGATTTGGCTAAGCATGTTCTAGATCTGACATTTAAGAGAAAAAAAAATCTATCTCCTCCTGTTTCCAGTCTCCTCCTGCTTCCAGGAGGAACTTTTCACTTTTACTTTTATTTTTTTTTCCAAAGTGATTCAGCATATTAATGCTGTCTGAATTTTTTTTAAAAAGGGGGGGGCTCTATCTTCTTAAACCACTTAATGATATGGGGAATTGAAAGAGAAAGGTAAATTTAAAGCTGGAACCTCTGCTTTGGTCCACTTCCAGTGATCACACATGCTGAAAACTAAAATATAGCGACCCTACTTGCACAAAAAAACAAAACAAAAACAGAAGCCCCTAACAAGGGAGCCAGAAAGGTGTGGGGACTCTGGGGACAAGCTGGGTTTTGCTCATGTGATCACCAGAAAAAGGAGTGAACCAGCCTATCCCTGCAGCACACCAAACAGCAGGACAAATGCCCATCGATCGCACCCTTACATACGCAACAGAACAGTCTAAACCCTAATGCTAACTAAATATCCCTGGAGGCACATGGGAGAGGAACAGCAGCATGCCTCTTCCTTAAAGAGTCAGGAAAGAAAGGAAGCAATCCTGGTAGGCAGACCCTGAAAATATCAGTCTGACAACATATGTGAGAGGAATGTAGTGGGGTCAGAGACACAAAACAGCAACTTCTCATCTCCCAAATCCCCTTCTGGTCATTTGGTTGGATAGGTGCTAAGAGGCAATGCTAGGAAGACACCAGGCGAATAAGGGAGAGGATGCAGCCTTTGAGCAGTGCTGAAAAACATTCTGAATAAGCTCAGAGGTATTCCAATATTTCTCATTAATTTTTTAATCTTTTTACTGATTTAGATCTGTAGTAAGTTACTGCTGCATTTCAGTATTACACTTACATGAGTGTCCTCTATGTGGAATTATGACATTGTCCCTGCATTAACTTTTTCCCAGTTCTTATAAAAAATATACAGTTGTTGGAAAGCTGAGGGAGTACAGTGGTGCCTTGCTAGACAGTTACCCCGCATGACAGTTTTTTTCGCTAGACATTGACTTTTTGCAATCGCTATAGCGATTCGCAAAACAGTGACTCCTATGGGGGAATTTCGCTGGATAATGTTTGGTCCCTGCTTTGCAAACCGATTTTCATTAGATGACGATTTTGACAGCTTCCTCTGCACTCGCAAAACAGGTGTTTTCTGGACCTAAGCTTCTCAAGACAGCGATTTAAACAGCTGATCGGCAGTTCGCAAAGCGGCTTTCCTATGGCTGATCTTCACTAGACAACGACGATTCTTCCCCATTGGAACGTATTAAACAGGTTTCAATGGATTCCAATGGGGAAATGCTTTTCACTAGACAATTATTTCACTAAACAGCAATTTCAGTGGAACGGATTACCATCGTCTAGCGAGGCACGACTGTATCATAAATGTTGGGGGGTGAGGGGGCAAAGAGTTATGCAAATTAGCAACATGTTTGTTAGAGCCTGGTTACTTTAAACAAAATTCAAACTTTGACAGTCCCGCTCCATCAAATGAATGTGGGAGTGTCTTGTTTGTAGGTTTTCTTTGTTGCCCACTAGCCCACTTTCGCAATATTCACAACACTTATTTACTCTTGTCATTATGAACATTTGACATTCTCGTAGATTTCATCCTGTGTTTCCCCAGAGCTTGCCATATTTTGTCTTCTGTTCGCATTTGCTTTGTGTTGGCAGCCACAATTGTGTGAACGCTAGGGAGGAGAAAAGCAGATAGAAGAATGACTCAGCAAAGACGGATACCCTCCTAATAGAAATGAAACTCAGGATCAATTTCTTCATCAGAATAAATTGTCATTTCTTCTGATGAACCTATTTAGCACCACCACCACCACCCCAATTTAACAGGATTTTCTGTGGTTAAATGCTGCAGAAGTCAGATTGTAAACTAAGCCTGTGTTTATTCCCATAACAAAAGACACTAAATACAAAATCTTAGATTGAGGAAGATCACATACTGTGAGAGACATCTTTTACCATTTGAGGGAGTACCTCTTCTGAAAATGTGTGATGTATATTATCTAATCTGACCAGGAGGGATTTTTCTTATATTGTACTTAAATGCACAATGTGACTCTTAGTAACAGATTAAATGTCTATATCTGTTATGTCCTAAATTTGCTGTAGCCAATTGGGCATATTCTGAGCTGGGAATTAAGGAGATCCAAAGGATTCATAGAATTTTGTATCCCAAGCCAGAAGCCTTCATGTACCATCCGGGCTACAGAGCGCCAGAAGTATTAGTGCAAGAACAAATTGGTTTTCCTTCTGTCTAAGATACCTGGAAAATATAAAGCAGGATGGGGAATTTCTTGATTTTCAGATGTTTCTGGACTACCACTGTCATCTTTTTTCTTGACCAACCACCATGTTGGTCAAACCTGATAGAAGTTGGAATTCAACAACATGGAAGGGGTGCAAATTCCTTATATAAAGGCACAGATGCATAAAACCACCCATTGATCTTACTCTTGTACCCTATTACTATCAAGGATGGAGTAGTGAAGGGGTTGCCTCACCCCCAGAATTCCAGAGTAAGGCACTCCTGTTTGTACCGACCACCTATGAGTTCAACTACCTCAACTATGGCTGACCTAAATATTCCATAGGTCTTGCTTTGGACTTAAGATGCTTGCAATAGGTAAATAATGTGCACCTTGTTTTGATGCTGGGTAGCACTGGTCTTTTATCCCAAATGTTGCTTTTCAGTACTGTTTTTCATAATTGCCTTCTCTGCCCTCCATCTCACTTTCCCTCACTGGTCAGAGAACAATGGGGTCCTGAAAATGCATCAAAACAATGTGAATATATTCTTAACTATGCCAGACTGATCTCTGAGCATGGGGACATTCTGATTTTTACAAGGTGGTGTCTGTTTAACCCTAATCCCTAAGACAGTAACAGTACTGATTTGTAAAAACATGTAAGATACAGTTGACATGTTCAGTCACCCAAGTCACTTGTGCATTGTTGTATGCATGCAGGAGTGACATACATCTTCCTGTACCTTAGAAATGTAACATGACAGGCAGCTCTGACTCAAAAGGTTGTCCAGGATTCATTGACTGTAAAGCCGGGGTACCATTTCCTTACAATGTTTTAGCTCACCATGTACCAAAGACTCTCTATACCCACAGTCTTCATGTCTCTTCCATCCTCCACTATTATTACAATGGTAATGTACAAATGCACAAATCACCAATGCCAAATAGCACCTTACAGATAGAAAAGAGACCTCTGTTGCAACTAACTAATTCCTGCTCTTCGTTTGGGGTAGAAAGTGTCAAATCCTCAGCTTCAAAATGGGTGCAGAAATAGCAATGGAGTAGTTCCACAATTAGACTTAAGAAATACAGAATGCCTGAGTCGTGTCCACCGGTAATATATCCCAACTCTGTAAATTGCAATTAGCTTGCTTTAGTTTGGCAATTCGTTCTTGAGAGGTAAACACTGGGTGTTTTTTTCCATGTTATGGATGGAAACACAGTAGTTCTGTGTCTCCAGAGTGCAATGTTTTATCACCACCTATTGCAAAGCTGCCATCTTGTCGGTTTCTGCCCCAGGAAAACTGCATTGATGTGCAGTAGGCAAAGATTGAAAGCTGAGCCTGACACAAAGAAGGATGCACTCAGCCAAGGCTTTTCTAGAGGGAAGCAACAACAAATTATGTGACTCTCTGTGACTCACAAATATTAGTTTATTACAATGCCATCTAAGATGCAGCAGGAACAATATGTGGCTGGTGAACATCTTACACAAAGTTACACCCAGTTAGTTGGACATAAAATAGAAAAATGTTAAAGTTTCACAAGTTTTCAAACAACTTTTCTTTTATAAAGTGTTAGTCATATTGTGAAGCAAATTGACTGACCCATAGTTTTGTTTTTATGATACATAAAGGTATGCTAAATGAAATGGTAAGCCTGCTGATTAAGAGATGTGTGCCTTGACAAGTGCCACAGAAAATAACTCTGCCTCTGTGTGGTTTGGATTCCCTGTGCCTGGCAAAAATCTCAGAAAGAAATTTTGCACAGTACCGAGAGAGTCTCAGGCCCCACTAACCTGTGCGTAAAAGATTTTCATCATGTTGATCCTCTTGTTCTTATTTTTCTTTCTGGTGACACACAGAAAGTTTGTTAATGCCACTTCTCTTGCTAGAACCAGGAACATTGTAAATTTCCATGAAATATTAAAATGGGTTCTGAAAATGGTAAGCTTTGAACAAAATCTGCATTTTTGAATGCATGGTTAACAATTCATTCAGTAATTTATAAGCTCTTGGCTTTTGTTCTGCACTGTGCTGGCCACTGTGCATTGCACTTGCAAATGTCTTATGTTGACAAAAGTTGAAGCACATTTCCTGGGTGGAGACCAGCAAAATATGGCTAGCTGTCTTAAATCATGGCTGCCCAACTAAGAGACACCATACATTGTTGGGCTGCAACCCCAGTGAGTCCTAGTTGCCATACCCAGTGGCAATGGATATGGGAGATGCAACTCAACTGGCTTATACCCAGAAAAGTTGTTAGAAACCATGTAAACAAATACTAAGACATATTATTTATCATTCATCGTAGACAAGGCTATCTGGACCACAGCTCCCCATGAGAAACACCTTCAAGTTTTAAGAACTTCAAAGGAGGCCCTTCTCATAGTCACACCACCTTCACAGGCACATCACCTGAGAAGCTGAGAAAAAGTCCTTTTAGTGACCGTGGAACCTTTTTGTGAAAGGCTGACCAGGAAAAGACTTTTCTATCCAGATTGGCTTTTGGAACCAAAGAGAAATCTTTTAACGGGGAGAAAGTGCTTTAAAGAAATCTCTCTATTTATCTTTGTTTTATTTTAAATTGCATTGAGTTTAACGGTCTTTTAATACTATTACATTTAGTTACATATTGCATATTTTAATTCAGGTATCTCTCCCTATCCCCATTCCATAAGCCTCCTTAGGTCCCTGAACTGAGAGACAGGCAGAATTTAAAATAACTCAATAAATAACTCAATAACTCAATCAATTAGTCAGTCAGTCAGTCAGTCAATCAATCAATAATGGGACAGAATGATCTGTTTACCTTTTGTGATAAGCAATAGCCACAACACTGGCCAAGGTGATTATTATCAGTATTGCGGAAGCTCCAGCAATGAAGACAATGTGCTGCATAGAAATCAAAGGAACTAGAAAGAAAGGAGGATGGGAAATATTAACAACGTGGCTCAAAGAAAAGATACATGATTTTAAAGTAAGGTAGTACAGGATGGAGTTCCATACAGCATGTGTTGCAACTACAGTATTAACTTAAAAAGAAATGATGAAGTGTGTGTTATCCTTAGAACAAATTATTAAAAAGCTAAGCAGTGGAGTCATCTGGAATAGCCTACAAAATCCAGTGTCTATCCTGACAATTTTGATTCCGACTCACACTGGGCTAACTCTCAAGACTAAGAAACCACTTCATTAAGAATACCCTGTTGTGCAAACTTTAATGAACACCAGACTAGATGACAACCTAGTTAATATTAACCGATATCGTCTTGGGACCGAGCACCGACAAACTTGTCGCCATAAAGTGTTTCTTTCTATCTCCCAGCTTCTCTGGAGTACATCCTTCAGAGTGCCTCTTTTGATGACCATAGTATATAAGCAGCATTTTGGAAATGAAAAGACTGGAAACAAAGGCAAAGAGGTTCATATTTCAGTTTTCTGTCATCAGTAACTTTCAGAATATGCTCGCCATCATCTCCTGAATTCAAGAGGCTAGATGAAAGAACCTCTCCACCCCACCCCACTACCAGTACAATATTAGTATTCTTCACCAAGCAAAAAACAATTCCCCCAGACTATTATCCCTTGAAGAGGGCAGGATATGAAGACTCTTCGCTCTTTGTACTACAGGCAAATGGTAAAGCCTGTACTTTTTATTTTGAAGAAAGCGTCAGATAACCATCTCTTAATAAAGAAAAAAATGTATAGTTCCCCACAACACCTTCATAAAGTGTTGTAAAGGAGTATTTTAAAGGATGATTTAAAGGAAAAAAGAAAGACATCACGGTACTCTGCCATTTCGATTACACTTAAAGATCAAAATCTCTCAGGATAACAATACTTCATCAGGCTTTCTCACATGTTTATCCCCATAAAAATTACATGCAGTAGATTATTAACATCCCTAGAAAAGTGTCTAAGAGACAGTGAACACAGGTTCTCCACATGGGTCATAGTAATGATCATAAGAAACCGTTGACCACTTAGCTACCTTGAAAATTCATATCCAACTAATCATTCAAAGGCATAATTAAAAAACAGAAAACAAAGAAGGGGCCTTTTGCATCCCTGTGCTTTGCTACTCAGTCCAGAAGTTTCAGCATTCCCTGTTTCTTTCCATAGAATCACTCAAGTCATAATCTCCAATCCATGTTAAATAACTCATTTGAAAAAAAGCCAAGCACTCTGTGTCCACTGGTGTCACAAAGTCTAAGGTGTCTGATCCCAGCAGGACGAACCAGAGTGTCTTGGGTGGCAGAATCATTTCTAGTTCTCTCTGCTTTGTCGTGAGACCTAAACCTGTGTCTAGAAAAGGCCTTTGATGAAGGAAGGAGGAGTTTTGTGTCACTATTTTTTGCTTTCCCCTCATCTCAGGAGAACGTATGGCAGTGTGCAGTTCTGTCTTTGTTTACCTTTCCTCTCATCCCCAAGTATGCAGCAGCTGCATGGTGTCCCAACAAACCCTCACTGTTTTGGGTGTCTGACTCAATTCATGGGATTGGGGCTGCATGTTAAGACTCTGTAGTCCAGTATGGATGTGTTGAGGGGACAGCTTTTCCTAAATACCCTTTGCATCAGAGTCCATGTGCAGCAAACTACAGAAGACGCTTCTGGCTTTGCGCCCAGTGCCATAGTTTAGGTGACTGAAAATGATTCTAAAATGTTCTTCTCTAAAACTTGACAGAGGGGAAGTTCTGCCTATTATGATCCAGAGCAAACACCTTCAGATGAACCAGGTCAGCTGTAGGTGATAAACAACTTGGTTTGCCAACCAAAACCACCTGCATTATGTTTTTCAAAGAGAACTATTTCTTAACCTGTGGCTCACTTATCACATATTTAATTACTAATAGCTGGTTGTCAGAGATGGGCATGAACCAGGAAACCAGTGGTTTGTGACAGTTCATGGTTACCAATGAACCACAAACTATCACAATCCCCCTCCAAAAAACCAAACTCATCCACGGTTCATTTTTCAGGTTTGTGCCAGAGGGAACCACCTGCTCACCCTTCCCCGAGCCCCATCACTTCCCTACCATCTCTTGAAGCTAACACTGCCATCTCCACCACCATCATCCTGAGAGGCAGCAGGCCCAGCTTCTTGTATGGAAACCTGGCTTGTTTTCTGTGCACATGTGACCGCCACTCAGTTGATAGGTAGGCACATGTACAGAAGCAAGGAGCCAGGCTTGCTGCCTCTCAGGATGGCATCAGTGTTGTTGGTGGTAGGTTCAAGATGATATAGGAAGGTGGCAGGGGCAGGTGGAGTAGGCATCACATTTTGCTGAAGCCAAAAAAAAGGGTCAAGTGGAAAAAAAGGTTCGGTGCTTCATTTCATTTTGGCAAAGTGGGATCCCCAAACCGAGCATGAACTGAACCACAAACCAACCCAGTTCGTGTTTTGTTCTGGTTTGTGGTTTGGTTCATGTCCGCCCTACTGGTTAGAATAACTCTCATTATAGTGTGCAATCCTGCCTTTGACCAATGGCGTTATATCACCTATACTTATGGGCAACTGCTAGGAGTCAGGGTGGTGCATGAGACCTCCATTTCCCTGGAACCCAGAGAATACTGCGCACCCATGACAAGTCCGCAGCACAATTTGTGATGGAGAAATGAAAGGGCAGCAGAGGCCATAAAAATGATCAAAAGGGATTTGTGGGGACCATGGGCTTGATGTCTGCCCCCACCCCATTTTGAAGCAATAACAGAGTCAGGCAACTCTTGGCTTCCTTGTTGCTGCTGAATGCCGCCTTGTTCTTTGTGGATCTTCTGTATTTCTAATCAAGCAGAACAGCATTTAATGCAACATCTTTCATTTCCTAGAATCAAACTGTACAAGTCAGAGGCATGTCATTTTTCTCTTAACTTCAGGAGGAAAACAGGCTGCTGGGACACTATTTAACATTCTATGAAGGCTAGTTTTGTTTCCTTTAAGTACTGCCTTAGAAAGCCCTGGTTTTTGACTTTTCCCCCCTTCTCAGGATTCCAAAAATGTTATGGGTGACTGGTTACAACCTCCACTGCCTGACCAGCATATCTACAGTTGAAATGCTGACAAGCCTGACAGTTACAATGCACTAAAAACTAATGAGTGGTTTGAACTGCTTGTCTTGTACCCTGCCACAAACAGGTTTACAAGATCTGCCAAGTACACACAGAGCGCAAGGACATGCCTGTGACTGTGAGAAACCACAGAAACATAGGCAAGCGTAGGCAAAGGAGTTGTGCCCCCAAGGAGACAGAGTAGTATATCGGATGTGGTCTCCTCCTACAGGTGGATTTTTTTCCACTTAACATTTGTCACATGATGAGCTTTCAAACGTTTTAGCATTTATCCTGGAGTTCTGCCCATATACTTGTCACACAAGAATGAGCATCTGGCAGTCTTAGCAGAGCCACAATATCCATGGCCTAATAGGATACAACCAAGAAGGAAAGTGGAAACAGATTGAGTGCTTACATTACAATGCTACATTACATTGAAATATTTGTACAAAGCAAAAAAGCAAAGTGTGCTGCTTATATACCGCCCCATAGCGCTTCAAGCACTCTCTGGGTGGATTACAATTTAATTATGCAGGCTACACATTGCCCCCCCAGCAAGCTGGATACTCATTTTACCGACCTCGGAAGGATAGAAGGCTGAGTCAACTTTGAGCTGGATACCTGGGATTTGAACCCCAGGTCGTGAGCACAGTTTTAGCTGCAGTACAGCAATTTAACCACTGCGCCATGAGTGGTGCACTGCTTGATGACGACCCCGCTTGACGACAAAATCACTTGATGACGAGTTTTTTGCAATAGCTATAGCGATCCCAAAATGATGGTTCCTATGGGGTTTTTTTGCTTTACGTCGATTAGGTGCCTGCTTCGCGAACCGTTTGTTCACAAAACGATGTTTTTTCCACCTCCGCAAAATGGCTTCCCTTCACAAAATGGCTTCCCTCCCTTTGCAAAATGGCTGTTTTCCTGGCAGAAGCTTCAGAAGACAGCATTCTTAAACAGCCGATTGGCGATTCTCTATGGGCGATCTTTGTTGGACAATGAGGTATTTCCCCATTGGAACGCATTAACCAGTTTTCAGTGCATTCCAATGGGTTTTTTTCTTTGCTTGACGACGATTTCGCTTAACAGCGATTTTCCTGGAACAGATTATCATCGTCAAGCAGGGCACCACTCTAGTTTAAACATAGGTATTATTCCTCCCTCCCTCCCTTCCTTTTTAACATCTCCAGGTTATGACCTGTGAGTGGAGGCACATTTTGGCACCACCAAGACTACCGAACATAGGCCAAAATCCAGTTGCTTTGCACAGTAAATTGCACTAGAGTAGGCCAATGGAGTCAGTAGGGATGCTGTGTGTCAACTCCTCCATAACTTCCATTGATTTAAATGAGCCTATTCCACTTGTGATTTAGTACTGGATTTCAAGGCATTTACATACCAATATGGCTGAGCTTTTGGAATATATTAGCTGTTGGGTGATGATATTTTGGAATATCATAACCCAACAACATTAATCTTTATTTTATTTTAGTTTAAAACTCTCTATTTTCACTGCTCCCTCAATGTTATGATGGCTCCCTAGGGATTCCTTTTGGGAAGCTCAGGATGAAAGAGAGGGAAGGCTTTAATATAAGACCACTGGCAGTGATCAAGCAGCAATTTTCCAATATTAAAGGCTCCCCCACCTACATTCTGGGGCTCCCCATAACTTCCCAAGGTGAGAAGAAATCTCTAGAGAGCCTCAGAACCTGAAGAAGAGAGGCAGGGAGATTAACATGGCCATGTGATAATGCCATCACTATTTAAGTGGAGTTACGTGACAGGATTTCAGCCATTGCCTGGAATCACAATCAGTAGCAGTAAAACTAAATTTGCAAGCAGCACCACTTTGAAATATCACCTCACTAGAAATTAAAATAAAAAAACAGGAACAGCAGCACTGAAGAAATTTTGAATTACCCCTCAGTGTGGACAGATAACACAACAAACTAAATTAAGGGGAAGAAAATAACAAAGCATGTAGAGGAAACAGGAATTGTTGGTTTCTATGTTCACAGGGCATAGCCAAGGAGAATATATCAGGGTTAGGATGAATTAGTCAATGAGAATGTCAACTCGGTAGAAAAGTGGATGAAAAGTGAATTACACCTTGGTAGCCACAGTTGGGAAATGAATGCTAGCTGATCCAGAAAGCCTCTTTTTATGTTGTGAATTACAGGAAGAAGAAAAAGGTTCCTGGGGCAGTTATACAAATGCCGTTTATTTTCTTACTGGTGGATTTGTGGTTCAAACTCTTCTGGGCCTTTCTTCTTCAACAAAAAATAAATTAGCTCTCTAAGAGTGTGATCGGATGAGTGTTTTGCTCACTGCGTGGACAAGCACTGTGTGCTCACTGCAGGGATAGGCTTGCACACTCGTAAAGATGGTAATCAGATGATGTCTCTACTGGAGCAAACCAGCCTGTCCTCCCAGAGTGTTCCTAGCCACATTTTTGTCAATACTGTATCATGAAGTGGCTTAATAAGAGAGAGGCTTCATGATACAGTATAGGCAAATTAAACTCCATGGAAGTGTTTCCAAAGGCAGTGTGTGTGACTTGGCTTGGCTTTTTAAGAGGCAAATGGAGCAGGGGAGGCAGCAGGCAGAGGCGGAAGAGGAATTTCCAGCACAGAAAGCCTGCCTTTGGGAAGCTGAAACCTCCTGTGCATGGACATGCATGACCCATTTGTGCAAGTGTAAGTGCCTGCCTATGCCTTGGGTTGGCTTTTTAAAAGGGACAAGAGGAACAGTGGTGGCAGGAGCAGACAGGATGGGGTGTTTGTTTGCCTTTCTTGACTAGATCTTTAAAAGAAAAGCAAAAAAAAAAAAAAAAAAAAAAAAAGCTTCTCATTGCCTCCTTCCTGACTCTTCCTGCTTCTGGCACCAGGCTGGTGAGGGCTAAATAGAGTAACTTCAGCTCCATATGCCATTCAGATGTGGAGATCACACCAAATGGCAGACCAGACCTCCTAATGACTTGATTTAGCCTGATCCAGCCTAATCCAAAACAGGCCTGTAGATTACCACTAAGTTTGTATAGCTGTGCTGGTTCTCTCCTGCTTGACGGGGAAGTGCTCAGAAATATATATATAGTTTTAAAAGGGACAAGAGGAACAGTGGTGGTGCCAGAAGCAGGAATGTATATATATTTCTGAGCACTTCCCCGCCAAGCAGGAGAACATAGGGAACATTGGTAACAACAATATATGAAGATAAGCCATTATTTTTTTAACATCTTTCCTTTGCAGCCTTTCCTCTTTAACACCCATCTGTCTTCTTCCTTTCCTGTCTAGCTTAAAACTACCCCAAACAAGCTTTGTGGTTTCCTCACTGCCCCGAGACCCGTCATCACCCTTTGCCTGTCTTTTTTAAAAAAGAAAAAAAAGAAAACACCAGATATTGGGTCCTAGTAAAGTGAGCAATTTTGTATACGTTTCAATGAATATATGCCACTAAGCAAAAATAAACCTTTAGAAAACTTCCATTGCAAAGTCAGTGCCCAATCCCCTTCCTTCAACTTACCGTTACCAGTAATGGTCAGTTTTGTCCATCCAGATTCATTTTTGCCATTTGCTCCAAAGCAGGAACAGTGATATAACCCAGCGTCACTAGCTGAGACGTTCCACAGGACAAGGGTGCTATACTCTTCGGTGGCACAGTCTATCTGTACATGCCCTTCATAATCTGAACCGTAGACCTGCAGACCAGATTCAAGACACTGACCTATGAAGTCCACACGGTCTACTTGAACCCTTTCCCATATCACTTGATTCACTGTGATATCAGAGTCATGCCAGCACATTATGGTGACATTTCGCCTTGGTTTAGTAACTTGGGAATCTGCAGTAACATCAGGATCCAAAAAGACTTGTGACTTAGAATCATCTGTAAAAGAAGTAAATTGAGGAGAGAAATTAAGGATGCTGTTTATAGCAATTAATGTTTGAAATCCTGTTGCTACAACTATACTGTGTTAGGCCTGATGATGTCATAAACAGTGATGGCAATTATTTGGAAATTAAACATTTGCAACTTCTTTTCTGAAGGCCCCAAGGCTGCCATGTACTCTCTTTCATCCTCAGGAAACCATTGGCGGTAGTGGGATGGGAGGGGAGATTTTTTTTTAGTTACAGAAACTGATGCTGCAGGTAAAGTCATCCTGGCAGTGGCAATTTTTGGTAAACACCCAGAGTAGACTTTTGGTCTAGATGGGCAGGATAGAAATCAAATCAAATCAAATCAAAAATCAATCAATCAATCAATACTTCCCCCTTTTGTTTCACTATCTGCCCAGATCTCAAATAATATAAGGGATTACATAGGAGCCTTGGGATCTTCATAAGAATAGTTGCAAATGTCTGATTTCCAAAATCAGCACCACACCAGATGTTATCATCCTCTGAAACACCAATCAGGTTTTGCCACCATAAGCAATGGTAAGAGATAATGCGAGTTACAACAAAACCATATATAGAAGGCCACAGTGACCCTCTTCAGTTTAGAAGTAATCCTAGGTTTAGAAAGAATAGATATTGTTTCCCTTCCAAATATATATGAATGTGATATTTACCATATGTAATTCAGGAAACAAGACTGCACATTCTATATATGTGGTTGTTGGATGTGAACTATCTAATGGATGGAATAAATGGCTTAAACATAGCTGGTAGAGTGCTCAAGGCTATCCAACAGTGTATCGTTTATTTGTTAAAGTTCTGCACTGCCTTCTCATCAAAGTGCGCTCAAGTCACAGTTGTGCAGTAGGACACAACAAAAAAACAAACAAAAAAGAAAAAGAAAAGGCAGGCAAAAGTCATCAGAAAAAAAAACCTGTTGCATTGCCCACTCCTTTCTAAGTGCATCAGAAATGTCAGGTTAAATCACCATGTATCTGGCTGAATTTTGGATTTCTCTAGCTGTTTCTGGTGCTAGTTACATTTTTGCATTCAGCATATTCATGGGCATTACCTTGTATATTGTTCTCTTTCTAAAATCTGGAAAATTTCCTTAGTAATAGGCATACACTAAATATGAAAATAGTCCACTATTAATTTCTGAACATCTGATGTTGAGCTTTAGAAGCATGTTGCACAATCTTGCACCCTATTAAAATCTATGAAGTGATTTATATTATTAAGAGCACTGTCCATTTGACACTATTAAGAATTATGGATTTTGCTTTTACAGTGTGCTTTAGTGCTGTCCTGTACTCAGATCTATGAATCTACAATATCAATTCTCTGTCCTAGAGGATTGGTCTCAGTAGAGATAGTTGTTCCTTACTCTTAATTTCTCACAAGAACATCATTTCACAGAAACAGCTCGTCTCAACAGCTAGCATTGTATCGGTCTTTAGCTGCTAATGGTTTCTTACACTGCAGGTAGAAAACCGTGGGGAGACAGTGAGGATATGTTTACGCACTTATCTTCTACTTTTTGCAAAACCAGAATGAGGAGAGCAGCAGGAAGGGCCATAGCTTTGTTGTGAAGTCACCGATATCCCATGTCAAAAGATTTCATGGCCAAGAACTGGAAACAGAACCCTATGACATTGTGAGGTGAGTTGTTATCCAAGATGAGGGCAGGCAAAGGTTGTGAGCAGTTGTGCTGCAACTACTTCTGGACCAGCTGATGGTAGACATAGGCACAAGAGTCTGGGTTCACAGTCCCAGAATCTGAATAAAAATGATGGTAGACATAGGCACAAGAGTCTGGGTTACACAATCCCAGAATCTGAATAAAAATGGTACAGTAACTGGATAATATGGCAACATGGATCAGAGCTACCCATTTTTGCCAGACAGACAGTGCACTGAGCTACTATGGTGAATGTTATGATTCCTGCTTGAGCTCATCCTACATGGCCTTAGCTGTAGCACACATGACATGTTTCTTCCCAATCCTATGCTGATGTTGGGGGTTGTGGAAGTCCAGACCATAGGCTTTTTCCTGGCCTTCTGCCACTCTTTCCGGACCTTGTCCAACAGGTCTGGAAAGAGTGCCACACCCTGTCTTGTTCCATATGGCCCACCAGCTTGCTCTCCTTGCTCTTGACCAACATTGCCCAAACACAACCACACACACTTAGAATTTTGCACTGATCCATTGAAATAAAGAGTGCCACACCCTGTCTTGTTCCATATAGCCCACCAGCTTTGCTCTCCTTGCTCTTGACCAACAGTGCCCAAGCACAACCACACACACTTAGACTTTTGCACTGATCCATTGAAATCTTGTGATGTATGGGAATGGGTAGAAATGAGTGTGCGAGCTTTAAAGCTACCTCAAAAATAAGAATGAGAGTTTCTCCTCTTCCATGTTGCCCACCTTGAAATTTACCTCCTCCCTCCTCATGAGAAGTGGGGAAGCATGGCCATTTTCTGTGACTTCAACTGATGCCCTGTGACTTGACATACTCTGTCAAAAGGAAGGAACTGGAAGGTGGAATAGGATTACCTTGCATCTCACATGGCTTTCAATTTTTTCTCCACTGTGTTCAATACACAAATCCTGGTGCAAAGAGCATTTGCATTTACCAAAGATAAACACGGTAACAGAGGGGTTTATTTTTTAATGCTCTTTTAAAAAAAACTACATTGCTGTAGTAGAGCTAAATTTTCTTCCTTCCTCAGTAAATGGTTCACAGTAGCAAAAATTTTGGTGCACATGTTCACCGCTCATTTGATAGTATGCATATCATTTTTATGGCAAACTGTCACAGATTTCACTAGTTCTGGATATATGGCTTCTTAGGTCTGCAGACTCACTCTTCATTTTCCCTGCTGTCACATAACAACCTCATATTTCTATCCTTTAAAATTACCTCTTAGTGGAATGCAACAATTACATGACCTGAAATGCTGACACATTGCAGATCAGCCATATAGTAGGATATTATATGAACATGATACATGTGGTTCTCAATTTTCTGCATGGTAATAAGAAACTGACTATTATGGGCATTAAGGTTCATTTTGAGGCTTCTAAATTCTCTTTGATGGCTTATATTATTTCCATCATTTTTTTCAACAGTACCAAATCTGCAATAATTTATACGAGTACTGTATAGCACTTACGTACTGTGGTGCAGAGCACAATGTCTTGGTTAGCTGGAGAGGAAAGAAAACAAGTTCTAAGCACTCAGAGCAAGTCACATTTGACCTAGGATTCCTCATATTAGACTTTAAGTCTAAAGGAGGAAGAACTTGATTCCAGTAATAAACTAGAGGAGTGAAGTCTTTGAGAACTATACTTCCTCCAAGCTGGCAGTGAGCTGCAATCAGCCAGTTAGAAAATGGCCATTCTTTCAGAGGAAACCATGCTGTAACTCTCATGTGCCTCAGGCCCAGCAAATCAAGATGACAAAAAGGTTGCACGTCCACTTCTTCAAACTGAACAAGTGGACTTTTCCACAAAAGTTTGCATTAAAATATAGCAATTAGTGCCACAGTGTTGTTTTTATTATTATTTTATTTTTATTTTTGTTTCTGCCTGACATGCTAGCACAGACCAACTTGGCTATCTCTTCTAAAGCTACAAAAAGGTTGCAGTTATTGACCTTTTCTACCTTCTGACAAGAAAACCAGCAAGGGGAAGGATCTGTCTGGACTGAACTGGATTTAAAAAGAGCTTAGGAAAAGCATTCATGGCTATTGTGATAGGAACATCAGCTGAGTTATAGGAGTTGTAGTCTAACCAAACCAACAATTTGTATAAGCTCTGGATTTCAGCACAAAGAAGGAGGAGGAGGAGCAGTGGCAGTGGTGGAGGAGGTCTCTTAACTGCATTCTCAGGACCATTACCACCACCACCCTTCTAAAGACAGATGATCATGTATTAAAATATTGCTTATTATCTTCTTGGCCACTTAAAATCTCCTAATCTGAGAGAGGGACATTCAAGAAATTGACAGAGGGAGTTTGTTCTGGCCATGAATAGCTAATAGAATAATGACTTCCCCACTGTTAAATATTACTCTTATTCTAAGTTCATTTGTTTTGGGTTTTGGGGGGTAAATATTGTTTTAGAGGAATCTGCATTTATTTGTTATCCTCAAATAACAAATAAATAATGTATAACCAACCAACAAACAAATAAGAAGCTTCAAAATGGTGTGAAAACTATGGTGTAGGTTCTCAGCACTAATTTTTGCAAAAGCAAAAGTCAAAACATTATATACAACATGAGTACCTTTGGTTGCACTGGATTGTCCTTTGCTTTTCCAACAGTAATATTGTCATGCCTGATGGGGTCTTGTATACTTGTCAGAAAAAGGCTATTCTTGCTGGTGGCCATGACTGAGCAGAGAAGTCAGTCCAACATAATGTCTGTCAAACAGAAGAATGTTCAGGGGAAGATAGTTCCTGTTGACCTTCATGAGCTGAGCATCTAACTGCCTTTTCTCCTTCATGGGGCCAGAGAACATGTTTCTCCAATATGAGCCTTTCCACCTTTTTCATAGGGACTTAGTTATTAACCACTTCAAGTTGGAATTTGGGGGTCTAGATGTTCAGTTATTCAGCATCCTAAACAGGAGAGGACAGACTTTCAGGTTCATTGGGAAATAACGATAAAAGGTCACAGTTTAACCATGACTGCCTGTTTTACACTGGCAACATATACACAGCAAATTCCATAATTAAACAGTCCTGGCAGCAGATGGAATTGGACAGCTGGTGCAGTTCACCCATGGCAGTTGCATGACAAAAGAAACAATTGTCTTTGCATTTTTTTTCTTCTTCAGCTAAAACAGCTTTATGATGAAAAGGGGAGAGTGTAAGTATGCACAAAGTTATAGACTGAGGTAGGTTTTCCCCCATAAGCCATCTACATACTAAGTGCCTGTGAATTGTTGGTTAATGATTACTGACAAAACTACACATCAGTCTAAAAAGCACATTGTTATAATCTGGTATCCAGTTGAAATGGATTTATAGTGTGTCCTAATACACTTTCTTAATAAGTGAGAAATTTAAAGATCGGCTCTATCACCACCAGTGAGTTTCCATGACTGAGCCAGGATTAAAGCCCAGATCTCCTGAGTCCTAGGCTGTCACTCTATCCATGACACCACACTGAATATCCTAGAATGAGCATAGATGTCTTTAAATGACAAATCCAAGCAGACACGTACAATGCTGACTGATAAAAATCTCTCCAATACCATCATGAAGCAATGTGGAATTCTCTTGTTATTTTACAGGCCAGCTCTGCTGCTCTTATAGCTCAAATGAAGGTGTATACATAGTTATAAAGGAAATAAATGGAATTTAAATATTGCTTTCTGTTTTGTCATACTCAAAAGTCACCTACAGTGCATTGAAAACCGATTAATCCCGTAACAGGTCGTTTTTGTTCCATTTCGGTTTTTTTCTGGTCTGTAAGTCAAATCTCAGTCTGCAAGTCAAACCTAAATTTTGCGGCCAGAGAAGTCTGTAACTCAAAAAGTCTGTAAGTCAAGCCATCTGTAAGTCAAGGGTCCACTGTAGTTATAAAGGAAATAAACGGAATTTAAATACTGCTTTCTGTTTTGTCATACTCTGTCCAAAAGTCACAGGACATAGTTATGCAATACATGCAAATAAATAATGTTTGTTTAGAAAGTCGCTTTAGGATTTAGCATGGAGTTCTTCTTACTTCATATGAAATACCTCTTCCAAATATATTCTGCAACCACTTTCTCCCATTCAGTATTCCAAAGCCACACAGAATTCTCACAAAGACAAATTCAGAGCTGCAATGGTTTGTAGAGGCATAATTTGCCAGGGCTGGGGACAATGTAGAGCATTCAGTTAATGGTCATGGAAGTACTAAGCCACATCACTGTCTAATCTCCTTTCTCTGCTTGAAATTCTTAACTTCTAAAATGTTTCTTTCTTTTTTAACACAAACTTTTGTTGAACTCTGATATTTTCAGGCTCAGGAATGGAAGGCAGGGAGGGGGAAAGTAGGTGGTAATATATTTGCAAATGAGCAGAAAAACTGAAGGGCAGCATTTTTTACTGTAATGTGCACAACTGTAGTTACAACAAGCAAAACCATATTGTTATATAGAGTTACAGAGCTGGAAAGGGTTGTAGAGCTTTCTAGTGCAAGCCCCTGTTGAATACATGAATTAACAAAGTTATAGAGTTACAGAGCTGGAAAGGGTTGTGGAGCTTTCTAGTGCAAGCCCCTGTTAAATACATGAATTAACAAAGTAAAATTTTTGACTTTTCAGGGGA